CTGTTCCAGGGGGCAAACGCTCAGTAACGCCTTGGCGTTTGTCATACCCCCCCCCCCGGAGGAGCCCGTTTTCCTTCCCTGAGCAACGCAGAGGGAAAAGGGCCTGCGGTCATAACGGGCAGGAGACAAACAGGAACGGTGCTGGAGTGGTTACGTAGAAAACCAGGCTTTTTAAGAAGAGCTTTCTAGTGGGAAAGCTGCTCCTGATGTAGTAAGCTTCCCGTTTGCTGCATTAATGGCCGTGGGAAGAAGAAGGAAAAATTGTCTTACTGCCTGCCGCGTACCTGTATGCAGGGTGTTTCCAGAGGGGCGGAGGAAAAACAAGTTATTTTCCCGTTTGGGTGCCGTGTCTTCACCCTCAGCCAAAATGATGGGTTGACTCAGCGGACAGAAGCCTTGTAGGGTTTGGGAGGTTGCGTTGAACTCGCGTTCAAACACCAGGTCTTTTAGCTTTGGCTTGTTTACCCTTGTTTAAAACCTTCATAAATTTAACTTTTTTTTTTTTCCTGATCCTTCAATATCCAGAAAGTCTCACTGGTGTTTGTTTTGATCATAGTTATCCATCTTTCTATATTTGTACTGGCTGGACTTTATGCCAGTGTAAATCTAGTGAAGCCATGACACCTTCCAGATTAAGGGAGCCCACAGACATGGCATTTCACAGGCTGCATGCTCTGCGTGAGCAGGAGATATTTCTTCAAAACTTCTTGGTTGGCCTTACCTCATTTGTTCATTTCCTTTGGCTTTGGTGACGCTGCAGTGCTCAGCACTGACACCCAATAGCGGGAGCTCATTAGTAAGATCTATGACGTTCCTTTTTGATTTTTTTTTTTTTTGCTTGCTTGCTTTAGCAATTTTTGTTTTCCTCATCCCTGGTTATACAACAATGATAGTAAAATAGAAGTCAGGACTCTCTGTTCCAGTGCAAGGATATAGTCACCAGCTTGGCTTTAACATTTGGTAGTGCTAAGAACAGGACCCTGTGGTTTTTGGTGTGAGGCCCAGTGCTTCAGAGCTTCCCAGTGGAAGTTAAGCAAGATTAGTTATCAGTCCCTCAGTGAGTAACAAACCATTAGTGGGGTTTCCCAGTTGGCTCCAGAAGGCACCCTACTTTCTGTAACGTCCATGGATTCATTATGAATTTCTTGCAACAGATTTCATGAGAAAACTTTCACAGAAAAGCACAAAAGAGCTAGCTGGAACTTGTATTTCAATTTTCTGCTCCTTCCACTGAGTTGGAGCTGGGCAGGCAGCGGGATGGAGGCATTGCTCACCGTTAATCAATACTTGTGTAAAGGTAGCTTATACTCTTGTTTTGACATTTTAAATTTAATTTACACAGGTTATTAGTGAGCTGAATGGAAAGAACATTGAGGATGTCATTGCTCAGGGTAAGTGCAGTCTTCGAGTGTCACAGGTAATTGCCTCTACCAGTTTGGTAACTTAGGCTTAAGAGCACAGAATTACTGTCAACTCCTTGACATATACATCAGTTTGGTCTCGCTGGCGAGCACTTTCATGCTGGATCTCTGCTGAAATGACTGTGAAATCCAGCAGGTCCATTCTAATTCCTTGCAGGTCAGTGCCAGTACCTGCTGGGTTTCGCTTGTGGACCACATTAAACTGGGAGACTTCAAAATGTATGAGCTTACTGGTAGTCTGCTCATAATATAGTTTTCTGGACATGCTGATTAGAGAAAGAATTAGCTAACCTTTGGTACTCTGGGAGATTTTTTTGGATTTACCCACTTGTGCAGACTAATTGAGTAAAATAGGAAGAAGAGACTGTTAAATGTAAGTAGAAGTGACGGTTCTTGTTAAGGGCACAGTTGCCCCCACTGCAATTAATACAAGCCTCCAAAACACACCTTTGCTAGAGCTGCCCCAATCTGGCCTTTCCTTTTCTCTGAGATGGGGCTCTCTGAGGTACTGACTTGTATAGGAAGCTTGTGCTCTTACCTGCTGGCACCTAAGCTGGAACTTTTAACGTTATTTCACTGGGTCACAGGGCTGAAATAACGTAGAGCTGAGGTAGTGCGAAGGTCTGGAATTAATTAATCTCTATTTTGCAAATACATAGGCGCAATACATACATATTTGAACTATATTTGCTTAAAGGTTGCCAGGACTTTGCCTGGCATTGCTGATAAAAGCAGTAACTGGATGTTTCTGTCAGTGTGGTCTGAAGACCTAAGAGAGCCATTGTGCGTGTGTTTACAACACATTTAAGCCACTTCTTTGTGATACTTGATCTTAAAATATAGTTTCCTAGAACACATTGACAGGCATATGAAACATGTTTGTTTACTTTGCGAGTTTATTAGAGCTTGAAATAACAAGGAATTATTTAGAAACTGATTCCCAGAAATTGTAATACAGGCAAACATACTGTGTATGCAACCTCTGAATGCCAAGGGAGCCTTGGTATGTGAAAGGCAGATGCCAGAGAACTGGCTGACTTTCCAAAGACAAGCATAAATCAGAAGGAAGTTTGCTAATCTGAAAGGACATGCCATAGTTCACAGGGTGTTGGAGGATCTGGTCAGAATGTTGTATTTTTTGCCACAAATAACAGCGTTTTTTTCCTTCTCTCTCCTATGTGATCTTAGTCATGCCCTTACAATTGTCTATACCTTCAAACAAACAAACAAAATAGCCGAGTCTGCCCATACTTATTTTTGAGGTATATTAAAGTTACCTACTTTCTGAACTGTTACCTTGTATTGCAACATGGTAGCCAATAAATAGACACAGCTCAACAGAAATCATCTAGAAAGAGCTCTAAGTCCTGTTTTTCTGTATCTGTAAAATTTGCTGATGTGTTTGCCACTATTTTTATAGGACCACTTTGGAAAAAATGTAGGGACTGTATATACAGAAGAAAACTTTATTAATACAGTATCAGTGTTCTCCAGACAAGCTTTTGATGTGAACAAGCACTTTTAAACCTAAACTCCAGCTCCTTTTAGTAGAATGGTTTATGCTTTCTTACGATGGATGCAGCTGGTTGTTCCTTTCAGTTAATAGTGACTGTTCAGTCTTAGACTTAGATTCTGAGTTTTCTACACTTCCGTTTCTCCTCCTTTTCACCCTGCCTGTGTTCCAGACTGGCTAGATAAAAAAAGCTGGTCTGCGTGTTGCAATACCTGTAGCATCATTAAACACACTGCAATGAGCATTTAACTACTGTTCTTCCTCTGTCTTGTTCAGGTAATGGAAAACTTGCCAGCATGCCTGCGGGAGGAGCTGTGGCCGTCTCTGCTGGCGGGGGCTCTGCTGCTCCTGCTGCAGGTGGTGCTGCCCCCGCTGCAGGTGAGCGTGGGTGTCTGGTTAGTGTGCTGAGTTGGGAGGAGACATGTCGTCACAGGACAGCTCCTTTTTCCTCTATTAAAATCTTGGGTGAAATCCAAATGTCATTCTCTTTCCAGTTTGGCAGTTGAGTGTGCGACTGAAATGTGAATTGAACTGTTACTTTTTGAGGGCATTTACAAGTGTTTGTTCTTTAGCCACCATCCCATAAGCTTGTTCTGGTTCTGAGAATCAAAATGGACTTTATTGTGTAAAGCACATCCCTTCAATAGTAGTGTCTCAGTCCCTTCAGTGTTTATATTGGCTACTGAAAGGGAATGAATGGCTGCGAAGATGAACGGTGGAGGCTGAAATACCAATAACATGGAAGCTGAGAACACCAAAACATTAACTTTGTTCCTGAAAATCTGTGGTGCAAAAAATGTACAGTAAATACTGATGATTGGCATTGTTTTCCTCCACTTTCAGCTGAGGAGAAGAAAGAAGAGAAGAAAGAAGAATCTGAAGAATCTGATGATGACATGGGATTCGGCCTCTTTGATTAATTATTTGTTATAGAAATACTATTAAATTTTGTTTGTTTTAAAAGGTTTTTGAGTTTATTAGTATAACCATAAAGTACTATTGGATTCAGACAGCTTTCTTAAAATAGCTCTGACAAAGCTTGGGTTTTTAGCTCTGTCTGAAATAGATATGCTACTTTGAGTAAATGAGGCCATGGGAATGATTCTTTTAAAGCGCTTGGGTATTGCTAAGCTTGTGTGAACCTGAAGGCTTGTTTTGAGACTCCTATTTATTAAATGGTATATGGAAGTTGAATTTACGTGAATTCACCCTCTTCACACTATCTTGCCATCATAGTTATTCAGGAAAGAATCCTACCTATTCAGCCATAAAAAGGCTTATTTTTTGGAATCTGTGTAGTCAATGCCAAAACATGAGTGGCAAGCAAGTCCAGATGAGTCCACAAATGTTACAACCAATACTTATTAGAACTAGCTTTGAAATAACTATTTAAAAACCCACCGATTTCATTTTGGCTTCATATTCCAAGATCTAGAAACAACACCAATAACATGTTTAACTCTACTTGGATTTCACGTTACATCCATATGCTCAACTTTAAGCCTTCCACAAGATTACCACATGCCTGCCTGCAGGCCCTGCTCTTCAGGGGCTTTTAACCCAAGGACACTGAAGTCAGTCCAAAGGCGCTCTTAATTTCTGTTTTGGGGACAGCCAAAGTATCAGCTTGAAATGGAACAAAAAGAAAATAGGAAAATATTTTTGGAAGCTGACCTCTATGGTGTGCCCAGAAAAATGCATCATCTTGGGAGGATGCTAAATTTTGCTTTTGTAAAGTGTTTTCTGCTAGGAGCCAGTTCCAGCAGACAACTTCCAGTGACTTCTACAGCGGTCTTTAACAGGTAATGTGCAAATAGGCGCATGATGGTCTTCCCATGCCAGGTTTTCCACAAGTAGTGTCAAAAGCAGGGTCTTGGAGCAAGTAGTCTGCGCTATGAAGTCTTGCCAACAGTTAAGTTGTTGCAGTGTGTGGCTGATAGTGCTGTGCAGGCTATGAGTCATTGGACAAAGCATGGTGAATATATCCCAGAGTGTAGATGGGTGAAATCCAAGTAGGAAAAAGTGTTTTATCTCCCTGTGGCATACTGGAGAAAACACTCAGCAGCAGCCAAGGAAGAGGGAGCAGATGAAACTTCAATCCTCAGACCTCAAAATGGCTGTGATTCAAGCAACTACCCCTTGCTGTCTTTTCTGCATGTTGCAAGAAAGAGCTACAGGAGGTAGCACCAAAACCTTTCTTCTACTTCAGCTCCTGCTGGGTGATCTTCATAGCTGTAATGAAAACTGCTTGTGTTTACTCTAGTTCTCTGTCAGAAATGTCATGGCTGTGATTTGACAGTGACTGGGGTGCAGGTGTATCTGTGTTTCTTTCCTTGTGATTTCCCCACTTTAGGTAACTGAAAAAAAGAAGTTCTCGGGTCTGGTTTCACTGAAAGGTAGCCCCCAACCTGCAATATCGCCTTGCTTTGGCTGCTACAAGGGCAAAGTCAGTGTGTTTTCACGGGGAGGGACTGTGCCCTATCACCACGTTCAACTGGGCCTTTTCTGTGCGCGAAGGACTTCAGTTTCAATAGCACTGCGCTATTCCGTGAGTTTTGTGGTGGCCAGGCCTATGGGATGAGACTGAAACCTCTCCTATCAGCTGTTCCCTAGGAGAAAAGAATAGCCAGAGGACTAAAATGTCTCCCTTAGACTCCAGCTACATCCAGACTGACTTCCCTCTCTTCCTCCTATTTTTCTACCTCTCCCTATGACCCGTGAGGCTTCGAGTTACAGATCCAATCTTGTACTGTGTGTTCCTCTTAGCAAATGTAAATTCCCTCCTGAAAGTGGTTCATTCTGATGAAAACTGTCATTGGTCAATCTCCTTCAAGAAGGAGAAGGATTGTGTTTGCGCAAGCAAAGACAAACAACAGATCGTTTGCCATTGCCCTGTAATGACTATGTCCCCCTTTATATAGTTTGTTACCCCACAGCATTTTATTACTCATGAGGCGAAAGAGGAGAAACATTTAAAGAGCAGCTAGCTCTCAGCAAGCACCAACAATGCAGCGTACATCACACTGCCACAGGGAGGCAATGTATTCTACACAGCCACCCCATAGGTATTCACTGTGAAGGCCAGGAGAGAGGACTGCCTAGAGATTTCACGTATGTTTTTTCAGAATTTGCTACAACCCGTGCATAGTGAACATTTCCAAATGCAAAACCAAAGCTTTCAAAGCTTTCTTCTTCTGCACCCATTTATGAACCAGCTGCTGCCCAATAGGTTTGTGCATGAGCAGTGTGCCTGGAAATCTGTTGCAGACTCATTTGATCCTCTGGTCAGGGTATCACCACCCTCCATTCCGCTGATCTCAATGAACTGCAGCTATGAAGGAAACTGCAACCCCTGCTTCTGCTCTGTGGATGCTGTCCTGAGTTTTCAAGTGTCGCTGCCTCCTTTTCAAACAGCAGGGATTTCCAAAGGAAGCGGTAGCAGTAGGACGGATGCTTTGCATTCCATGATGCTGTCAGAGAAAACCAGTGCCAGCAAAGACCTGGAGAGGTGGCCTGGTCTATTCCTTCGCAGGATCAGTTTTACTTAAGATAGATTTTTCCTGAGGCTTCTTCATAAAGAAATTTCAAAGGCATTGAGGGGAAAGGAGATGACAGAAAACCTTGTGCCTGGAGATTACAATGGTAACTGATTATTATTAAGTTGATGGTAGAGGAAAGCAATTTAGTGATGGGCTTGACGTTGAAACATGCAAAGCTTTCATAACTGGGACACGCTGCCCCATCTCAAATCAGCTCTGGCTGAAAATCATTACCTACAAATGCTACTGGGCTGGGACATGACATCTTTGCTACTTGGAAAGCAGTGAGAACATCCTGGGCATTACTGGAAAGTAATAAGCAATGGCTCCCTGGTGGCCACTGTCAAATAAGCTGGTTTCACTCTGACCACTGAGGCCAAATTTTGCAAGCTATAGGCGGTCCTACTGAACTCAGCGGGTTTCACTTACGTAGGACAGAGATATCCATAGTCACATTCCTATAAGGAAAAGTCCAGTCCCAAGAGAGGAGGATGACGGGACTACTCCATTGCCTCAGGAGATGCCCCTCTGAACCACATCACAAACATTTGCCCTGGAACTGCCTGATATGCACGCACATCCCACAAGTAAGACAAAGGCATCCAAGTCAGGCTTTCCACTGAGGTTCATGACACTTGGGTTAGGCCTTCGTGGCTGGTCCCCCAGCCTTGCTGGACTACAGGTGACAGTGCTGAAGCAAGTAACATGCTGAAGACAGCACCATAACAGACTCTGCCTCTCGGCTTCCATTTAAAATTATTAATTCCCATTGGCTGCCAATAACCAAGGTCTTAGCTAAAAAACAAACAGACATTCGTTTGCGTATATGTTATTACCTCATATGTACTAACTGTCCACGATTCATTGCACTAGAAAACAAATGCAACAAGGAGATTGCAGAGGTTTTCTCAGTGGCATCCCAAACATGCCAGGGCAAGAGCGAACTTGCAATGTTCTGACAAGAGCTTAATGCACATGAAAAGCTCATGAAATGCACATGAAATGCACATGAAAAGACATGTAAGTCTTATTAACCCGGCTTATTGCAGGACTATGAGCTTTTTAGTAGCTCTACTTTCTTACTGAGAGGAAAAAAATTTGTTTTGGAGAGTAATGACTTTGAAGAAAAACACAGTTGTTGTTTACTGACCTGCTAATGCCGTTACCCAGGAAGCACTCTGCAAGAGACTACTGTTTGTATGGTTTATTTCAATAACCTGTTTCAACCATGCAGCAAGAAGCTCCTCAGATAGGTAATCTTGAGGGCCAATGCAGAGTGATGTAAACAACTCAGAGAATGAGACTGCTGCTGAAAAGCAAAATGAAACTAACCCCAGCACCATCACAATATTATTGTTTCTGGTTTCCGGCTATAGCATGAACTATTTCATTTTGTGAAATGCTGAAAAGAGGAAGCAGTGTTAGCTCAAGAACGAAGCTGTTCTTGTGGTAACAAGCGCTATCATGCAAACAAGGTTCAGCATTCATTTTTATTACAGGTTCCCTCTAAAGGCATGGTCCAAAGACTAGTTTTTTGGGGGCACAGTCCCTGCTCTGGAAAAGGCACGACACAAGGTTTTTCTTGGCTTTGGCAACATGGAAATATCTTTCAGTGCCACCAGGAGCACGAGGTGAAAGCACTATAGTTGTTCTGGTGTTAAGGGGTAAGAGGGCCCTTTAAGAGGGTTAGGGCTCAGGTGTGCACCTAAGCTCCCTTCTTCAGGTGGGGGAGATGAGGGTTGAGAAGGGTCATGTGACCACATCAAACACAAGGGAGGGAGGAAATTATAAAAGCAAGTAGAGGTACGTGAGGAAGGGAAAAAAGGAGTTAGTACTTTGTGAAGGAGGGAGGGTATAGGGCATAAACAGAGAACTTGAGATAAGTGGGGTTAATTCTTCAGGTACTCCAGGGTGGAGCCATTATGCACCATGTGTTAAGTGTACCTCCTGGCAGCCAGGCAAAGTGCTGGCCTGCTGGGCTCTGGAGTCAGACCTGGAAGAAGGATAAGGCTGGAATTCTGCCTACCTGGTGGAAGGGAAGCGTAGATAGTTAAGGGAATAAGGGAAAAGTGGATGGCTGCTGTACGAGAAGTCTCAAACTACGTGTTCAGAGCTGTCTGCGTACCAGCCTGCCTTGTATCCTTCAGAAGGCCATGCACAGCGAAACAAGTAGGAGTGGGGCTGCTTGGGTAAACTCCACCAGTGTAAATGGTGAAATCCTCCTGCAGAAAGGAGGTCCTAGTCCTTTGTCTACTCTTAAAGCTGTTATGGACAGGTCTAATCCTGTTCTGAATGAGACACTTATGACCAGTTATAAGAGAACTAATGCAAATAGATTTGTCAGGATGAATGAGGTTTTTCTCCTATTTTTGACAGAAAATACCTTCACCCCATGTTGATGCTATTAGGAAACTAAACACTCTTCCACCACCAAATCTCCCTCCTGCTGATACTGCTTCCTTGCCTGAGTTGAGCAGCTGTTCCTCACGCTGTTCTGACCTTTTTGATGGTCCCTGTAAACTTCCATGCTCATCTAATTGTTTGAACAACTGCAGCCTGTACTGTCTTTCCATCTTGTGCAATCTATTCTGATCTCCTGATAGCACTGGCCTCTTGCCCTCTGCTCCTGTACGGTGAGTGGGTACACAAGGGCTT